GTAATTTGAGGCTCCGATATGGTTGCAAATAACATTGACAGTTTTCATGCTATGACAGTCATTTATGCTTCATTTTAAAGCATTATGATTGCACTTTAATATGGTATATAATTTGTAGCATAATGTGTGTTTTTACTAATTGGTGAATTTCATAGATCGGTAGAATTATTGTTCTATGTTTAATAAACGCGGTAATCTGAGGTTCCGATATGGCTGCAATTAACTTTGGCAGTTTTCGTGCTAGGACAGTCGTTTATGCACCATTTTAAAGCATTAAAATTGCCATTTGTTTTGGTATATAATTTATTGCATAATGTATTTTTAGAAAACGGCCAATTGGATAAATCGGTAGAATTATTTTCCCAGGTTTAAAAACGCGGTAATTTGAGGTTCCGATATGGTTGTGAATAACTTTGACAGTTTTCATGCTATGACAGTCATTTATGCATCATTTTAAAGCATTACAGTTGCACTTTTTTTTTGTGTATAATTTGTGGCATAATGAATTTTTACAAAAATTGGATAGATCGGTATATTTATTGGTACAGGTTTAAAAATGCGGTAATTTAAGGCCCCGATATGGTTGCAAATAACTTTTATAGTTTTCATTTTATAACAGTCGTTTATACATCTTTTTATTGCATTTTAGTTGCCATTTGTTTTGGTATATAATTTATTGCATAATGTATTTTTAGAAGATGGCCAATTGGATAGATCGATAGAATTATTTTCTCAGGTTTAAAAGGCGGTAATTTGAGGTTCCGATATGGTTGTGAATTACTTTGACAGTTTACATGCTATGACAGTCATTTATGCATCAGTTTAGAGCATTATGATTGCACTTTAATTTGGTATATCATTTGAGGCATAATGTGTTCGTCTAAAAAATGGTCAATTTGATGGATCGGTAGAATTATTGTTCTATGTTTAAAAACGCGGTAATTTGAGGTTCCGATATGGTTGCAAATAACTTTGACAGTTTTCATGCTAGGGCATTAGTTTACGCATCATTTTAAAGCATTACAGTTGCACTTTATTTTGGTGTATAATTTGTGGCATAATGAATTTTTACAAAAATTGAATGGATCGGTATATTTATTGGTACAGGTTTAAAAATGCGGTAATTCAAGGCTCCGATATGGTTGCAAATAACTTTTATAGTTTTCATGTTATAACAGTCGTTTATATATCTTTTTATTGCATTATAGTTGCCATTTGTTTTGGTATATAATTTATTGCATAATATATTTTTAGAAAATTGCCAATTGGATAGATCGGTAGAATTATTTTCACAGCTTTAAAAAGGCGGTAATTTGAGGTTCCGATATGGTTGCAAATAACATTGACAGTTTTCATGCTATGACAGTCATTTATGCTTTATTTTAAAGCATTATGATTGCACTTTAATATGGTATATAATTCGTAGCATAATGTGTGTTTTTACTAATTGGTGAATGTTCGTTTCAACTTTGTTTAGTTGAATTTATGTAAATAATTTAAAAAACGTTATCTTTTTATTTTTAGTTTGAAACTTTTTATTTTAATTCAGTTAATTCTATTTTACTATATTTTCATTGGCCTTATAGGCAATTATCCACAAGAAGTCAGCTTCCAAAAAAGAGTGATAAAAAAAATATTCTATGCCAATCGTTGTACTCGCTGTCGAATCGTTGTATTTTTAATAACAGTGATGCCAACTTAAGTTGGTACATATGAGTATGTCTACTCATTCCATAACCATGTCTACTAATTTCATAATCATGTCTACTAATTCCATAAAAGTTTACTAATTCAATAAGAGTTTACAAATTCCATACGAGTTGACATGTTTATGTTAACTAATATAAGTTGACATATTTATGTTAACTAATTTGATTTATTTTATGCTATCATTATTATTATTGTTGTTAACTTTTGCCGCAACACCGCCCACTTTGCAAGACTATGTTTCACTACTAGTCTTCAATTCATTAAATGGGAGCGGAGCTAGTTTTTGTATAGGCCTTTTATTTATACCGCCTTTTGTTTTTACCGTGGCTACTCGAACCATTCCATCGCTGCCGAATTCTACGGACTCTATTTTGCCGAGTACCCACTTCTGAGGAGGAAGATTGTCTTCGTGGACAATAACGACGTCGCCGACTTTGAGGTTGTTGTCCATTTGGCTCGTTGTTGTAAGTCCCGGACATAGTCCCGCTGCCACACACAAAAGTGTTCCTTGAGCGATGACAGCAGCCGAAAACGCTTTAAGGAGCCGCCCTTGTTGCCTCGCCCTTCTATTTCTGGCAGCGCTTTGAGCGATGAGCCTATTAGTAAATGACCTGGAGTAATGGCTTCTTCGTCGTTGGGGTCTTCTGTCAACGCAACGATTGGACGAGAATTGAGTACGGCTTCGACGTCGAACAGGGCTGTGGTCAACTCTTCGAATGTTAAATTTGCCTTGCCTATGGTTCGAAGTAGTAATGCTTTCGCTGATTTCACCGCTGCTTCCCACAACCTTCCGAAGTGCGGCGCTCGCGGCGGTATGAACTGGAATTCTACTCCCTGCTCTATTGTTGCCTCTTGAACTCGTACCTTGTCCTTCTCGTTCCACGCTCTGGCGGTTCCGACGAAATTTGTGGCGTTGTCGCACCATATTTTCTTCGGAAGTCCTCTTCTTCCCACAAACCTATTTAAAGCAGAAAGAAAAGTATCAGTTTGCAAATCTGATAATGCTTCTAAATGAACCGCTTTAGACGCAAAGCAGACAAAAACTGCTATATAAGTTTTTACTGGCGGTTTTCCTCTAATTCTTAATGATGTTAATACTGGACCACACAAATCAACACCACATACCCAAAATGGTCGACAACCAATTATTCGATCTTGAGGCAGATCGGCCATAATTTGTGAAGCCAATTTCGGCCGAAAATAAAAACATGACATACAGTTATTAACGGTATTCCGAGCAAGTTTACGGGCATTTATTACCCAAATTCTTTCTCGCGAAAGTCCTACTAATGCTTTAGGCCCTGCGTGACAGTTTGATTTATGTAATTCAAAGAAAAATATTTTTATAAAATGCGATGTTCCTTTTAAAATTAATGGAAATTTAGAATCATAAGGAAGCATTGCTTTGCTTAATCGTCCTCCAACTCGTAATAAAGAAATGTTTATATTCTCAACAGCATATTTCTGTATAAACGGATTTAATTTCTGGATCTTAACCTGCTTTGTTAATGAAGCTTTCGACAATATCTTGATTTCCTCCCGAAATTCAATGTTTTGAATCATTTCAATGATCTTCAAAAATGCAAAATGAAGTTCGCTTACATTAAGTACTTTTATACTACCATTGAGCTGCTTATTTGAACGCCATTTATTTTTCATACTTTTAACAAATCTTAAAATATATGCAACAATTCTAATCACTTTTCTTGACGAAGATTTGTTTTCAATCATCTCGTATATTCGATTCGAATGAACTTCAGATCCTTGATCTGATGAAAATTCTTTACCTAACAATAATGTTCTCATAGTCCCAATTTTTACCTACTTTTTCTTTTCTAGTAGCAAAGATTCTGGAGGAAGTTCGAAGTAGTAATGCTTTCGCTGATTTCACCGCTGCTTCCCACAACCTTCCGAAGTGCGGCGCTCGCGGCGGTATGAACTGGAATTCTACTCCCTGCTCTATTGTTGCCTCTTGAACTCGTACCTTGTCCTTCTCGTTCCACGCTCTGGCGGTTCCGACGAAATTTGTGGCGTTGTCGCACCATATTTTCTTCGGAAGTCCTCTTCTTCCCACAAACCTATTTAAAGCAGAAAGAAAAGTATCAGTTTGCAAATCTGATAATGCTTCTAAATGAACCGCTTTAGACGCAAAGCAGACAAAAACTGCTATATAAGTTTTTACTGGCGGTTTTCCTCTAATTCTTAATGATGTTAATACTGGACCACACAAATCAACACCACATACCCAAAATGGTCGACAACCAATTATTCGATCTTGAGGCAGATCGGCCATAATTTGTGAAGCCAATTTCGGCCGAAAATAAAAACATGACATACAGTTATTAACGGTATTCCGAGCAAGTTTACGGGCATTTATTACCCAAATTCTTTCTCGCGAAAGTCCTACTAATGCTTTAGGCCCTGCGTGACAGTTTGATTTATGTAATTCAAAGAAAAATATTTTTATAAAATGCGATGTTCCTTTTAAAATTAATGGAAATTTAGAATCATAAGGAAGCATTGCTTTGCTTAATCGTCCTCCAACTCGTAATAAAGAAATGTTTATATTCTCAACAGCATATTTCTGTATAAACGGATTTAATTTCTGGATCTTAACCTGCTTTGTTAATGAAGCTTTCGACAATATCTTGATTTCCTCCCGAAATTCAATGTTTTGAATCATTTCAATGATCTTCAAAAATGCAAAATGAAGTTCGCTTACATTAAGTACTTTTATACTACCATTGAGCTGCTTATTTGAACGCCATTTATTTTTCATACTTTTAACAAATCTTAAAATATATGCAACAATTCTAATCACTTTTCTTGACGAAGATTTGTTTTCAATCATCTCGTATATTCGATTCGAATGAACTTCAGATCCTTGATCTGATGAAAATTCTTTACCTAACAATAATGTTCTCATAGTCCCAATTTTTACCTACTTTTTCTTTTCTAGTAGCAAAGATTCTGGAGGAAGTTCAAAATGTGAATTCTTGGTCCACTTTTCAGGCGATTCTTTCAGGAATGACGGTCCCAAAAACCATATTGACTTTACAAGTTCATTAACATCGCATCCATGCGATACAATATCAGCCGGATTATGTGCCGACGGTACATATCGCCAAATAGCATCTGAAGAATTTTGCTGTATTTCTGATACGCGGTTACTAACGAAAGTATGTAGAGAAGAAGGATGGGTTTTTATCCAATGAAGCACTATCTCGGAATCAGTCCAAAATGTTATATCCTGAATTACATACATAGATAGCTTTAACTTTACTACATACCATAATTTCGTTAACAAGTGTGCAGCTCATAATTCTAAATCCACAAGAACTTAATATTTGAGTTACTTCCTTCTGAATTTCATTTAAAGTGCTAATTTCGTCTGCTCCTGAAAGCAGATCATCCACATAAAAATCGTTAGCTATAACATGTGATCCCAAAGGAAGTACATTTTTGAAAATATCACTTATTTCTTTAAGACATCGAATCGCAAGAAATGGCGCTGAAGCAGTACCATAAGTTACTGTATTCAGTTTATAAATTTGCATTGGAAACTCAGGATTATCTCGCCATAAAATTAATTGATACTTACGATCGTCCTCATGAATTCTGACTTGTCTATACATTTTCGTTATATCCGCCGTTATGGCAAATTTGTTCAAACGAAATTTTAATAATATTGAGAACAAATCATCTTGTATGGTAGGACCAATCATAAGAGTATCATTAAGTGATTTTTGAGTTGATGTTTTACTTGACGCATCGAATACAACTCTCAATTTTGTAGTGGTACTATGAGCTTTTATCACGCATTGATGCGGAATAAAATAATGAGGTAGACTTAGATTAATATTCTCAACTAGCGACATGTGGCCAAGATTTAAATATTCTTTCATGAAATCCACATACATTTCCTTCATTTTGTGATCTTTAGCTAATCTTCGCTCTAGATAAAGAAAACGCCGTTTTGCTATTTCGTAAGAATTTCCTAATATTTTCGGGTCTGTTTTAAAAGGCAATCTAACTTCAAATCTACCATCAATAAGACGACGAGTTGTCCTATCATAATATCTTTCACACAAAATTTGTTCTTCTGTCATTCTTGAGCACATAGGAATTTGCTCTAATTCCCAAAATTTTCTAACTAAACTATCGAGGGCTTCCAATTTTCGTTCTTTTTCATTAAGTGTTATTTGACATAATAGAGACTGTTTACTATAATTATCCACTCCATATGTACCCGAAACAATCCAACCGAGAAGTGTTTTTTGTAAAATAGGCAATGTAGGTCCTAACTTTATCTTTCCCAATAACATCAACTCAAAAAAGGATTCTGCTCCTACTAAAATGTCTATTTTTTGTGGCCTATTGAACTCTGGGTCTGCTAAAATAACATTAGCAGGAATTCCCATTCTACTAATATCAATATTTTCCGTGGGTTTTTTACTAGTTATGGTTTTAATGATATAAAACTGTGCATCGAACTCAAAATCACTTACACAAGATTTGACGTAAGTTTGAAGACTGTGCTTAATTTTTCTACTATTATTTCCTACACCAACTATATTCAAGTCAGTATTAACTCTTTTCAGTGCAATTGTTGGGCAATTTCTTCTGTTATCAAGTTAATCTGTGACCCAGAATCTAAAAGTGCTCGAACTAATTTATAATTACCACACTTGTCCTTAATTTGAACGATAGCAGTGGCTAAAATTACTTGGCGATCGTTTTCGTAAACACACATTGTCGTCGTATTTCGATCATTCCTTTGGTTCACTTGAGAACATGTAAATTGTGCAATATTACGACTTGTAGCACCAGTTGAACTTGAATTTATATTACTGTTAGTACGTTGGGCTGAACTACTGTTTTGTGTAGCAGGCAATTCATTACGCTGAGCATTATTATTTGAATTAAGAGAACATTGTGCTGGACTATTATTATCAATAGCAGCAGAATCAGACTGTTTAATTAATTCATCATTGTGCAATAAAACATGATGGGGTCTTTGACATATATTACAACGTGAAAAACGACATCTTCGCACTGAATGACCAAATCGCAAACAATTTATACACAGTCCTTTCTTCTTTGTAAACTCGAATCTTTGTTTCACTGTCAAACTGGAAAATATTGAGCAAGAACTAATAAAGTGTCCTTTACCAGAACAAAATGTACATTCATCCACTTTGGGCTCTGTACACGTGAACGAAAATGTAGAATTTCTTCTATCCCTAAAATTGTTATTTGCATTATTTAATTTCGGTCTAACAAGTTTACTTGAGTTTTGCTCAGTTCTCGAGGACTTGTCCCCATTAATATCTAAAAATTGACATCTTTTAATTAAAACGGAAGCGCAATCAGTCCATTTAGGTAGTGTTTTATAATCTAATTGCTCATCCCACTTTTCCTTTGAGCCCGAATCCAATTTGGTTAAAACTAAATGAATTATTATAGCGTTAGTTATATCTTTATCAGACCCAATGTGTGAAAGAGAATCTAAAATCGCTGAAACCGTATCTACTATGTTCCTTAAATCAGAACTACACGGCTTTTCCATTTTCTTTAAATTGAATAATGATGCTATATGATCTTGAAATATAAGACAATTGTTATCATACCTCTCTTGAAGTCTTTGCAATGCGCTAGAGTAATTCTCTTCGTTGACCTGAAAAGCTTTTACTGTACGTAGGGCATCATCTTGAAGGCTATTTATAAGATGGTTAAACTTCTCAATAGTAGACAAAGTTGGATCATCGTTAACCAAATTATTAAAACAAGATATAAAATTTTTATATTCTGAATATTTTCCACTAAACTTTGGTATTTTCAAGTAAGGTAAACGATTTGCAGATGGCAATGGTAAACTCACAGTACAATCATGAGGTAAACTTGATCTCCGATTACCTAGGTTTGATAACAATAACGCTTTACAACTAATACAGATTTCTTCCAATTCACCGCGTTCATTATCATCTGGACATAACTTTTCAATTTCAGTCTGATAAGCCATTAATTGTTTTATATATGAATTCAATATTTCTAATCTACATTGGACATCAATTGGGTTTAACGAAGCTGAACCATCAAGATACATATTTTTTATTCTTGTTATATTACCCTTAGCAGATGATCGTTGCTTTTGCAACGTTGAAAGATTTTCGGCCTCGGACATATTTTATAATATATTCTCACTAAGATAAAGACAGTTTAGATTTCGTTGTAAAATAAAATTTTCAACAACTTAATTTTCTTTCACTTATTAGGTAAATGACTTTAAAAGCTTTAAAAATTCTTCCACTTTGTTTAAACAACCCTTTATTAAATAAATTTTATTTACTTATCGTTAACATTAAATAACTTCAATAATAATAAAACAATTCTTCAAATTAATAATTTTAACACGAACTGGACATCCGATTTTAAATGAATTTTCTTGTTGGGACAGTATTCCACACCACGGACAAAAGCAACAAGATTGATTTATGGGGACAACTGTAACAAAATTATTTTATAATTTTCCAATTATTAAAATATAATTATCGAAATGAATTGTGAATGTGTGGGATAATTAATAAGGGTTATTGTGGACAGATTAAAGTGTGTAAATTAGAATGTTTGATTTAGATAAAATATGCGGGATGGTTATTTTGGGGTTATGTTTGTGTGGACAAATCAGTGTGTATGAGGATGTGAATGTGTGTGTATGTATATTTTTTTAAATAAAATATGATATATAATTAAATAAAATGTATACAACCTTTTGCTTATCAGTTTGTACTTGCTTAGCTCTCGTAATAATTTCTTCACGAGAATGGTAAGAGCACCCACCACCAGCAGTCACCACCAACGAACAGCACTCACTATCGGGAAATAGCAACAGCAATTTTCACCAGAAAATAGTCTTCAATGCTGGCATACAGCATTCTCCACCAGAAAACAATGCTTAATACTGACAACAGTAATTATCACAAGCAAACACCGATCACCACCAGCAACCACCGCCAGCACCACTTTTAACGTTGGGCGCCAATGTTCGTTTCAACTTTGTTTAGTTGAATTTATGTAAATAATTTAAAAAAACGTTATCTTTTTATTTTTAGTTTGAAACTTTTTATTTTAATTCAGTTAATTTTATTTTACTGTATTTTCATTGGGCTTATAGGCAATTATCCACAAGAAGTCAGCTTCCAAAAAAGAGTGATAAAAAAATATTCTATGCCAATCGTTGTACTCGCTGTCGAATTGTTGTATTTTTAGTAACAGTGATGCCAACTTAAGTTGGTACATATCAGTAACCATGTCTACTCATTCCATAACCATGTCTACTCATTCCATAACCATGTCTACTAATACCATAATCATGTCTACTAATTCCATAAAAGTTTACTAATTCAATAAGAGTTTACAAATTCCATACGAGTTGACATGTTTATGTTAACTAATATAAGTTGACATATTTATGTTAACTAATTTGATTTATTTTATGCTATCATTATTATTATTGTTGTTAACTTTTGCCGCAACAGTGAATTTGATAGATCGGTAGAATTATTGTTCTATGTTTAATAAACGCGGTAATCTGAGGTTCCGATATTTTTACAAAAATTGGATAGATCGGTATATTTATTGGTACAGGTTTAAAAATGCGGTAATTTAAGGCCCCGATATGGTTGCAAATAACTTTTATAGTTTTCATGTTATAGCAGTCGTTTATACATCTTTTTATTGCATTTTAGTTGCCATTTGTTTTGGTATATAATTTATTGCATAATGTATATTTAGAAGATGGCCAATTGGATAGATCGATAGAATTATTTTCCCAGGTTTAAAAAGGCGGTAATTTGAGGTTCCGATATGGTTGTGAATTACTTTGACAGTTTTCATGCTATGACAGTCATTTATGCATCAGTTTAGAGCATTATGATTGCACTTTAATTTGGTATATCATTTGTGGCATAATGTGTTCGTCTAAAAAATGGTCAATTTGATGGATCGGTAGAATTATTGTTCTATGTTTAAAAACGCGGTAATTTGAGGTTCCGATATGGTTGCAAATAACTTTGACAGTTTTCATGCTAGGGCATTAGTTTACGCATCATTTTAAAGCATTACAGTTGCACTTTATTTTGGTGTATAATTTGTGGCATAATGAATTTTTACAAAAATTGGATAGATCGGTATATTTATTGGTACAGGTTAAAAAATGCGGTAATTTAAGGCTCCGATATGGTTGCAAATAACTTTTATAGTTTTCATGTTATAACAGTCGTTTATATATCTTTTTATTGCATTATAGTTGCCATTTGCTTTGGTATATAATTTATTCCATAATATATTTTTGGAAAACGGCCAATTGGATAAATCGGTAGAATTATTTTCACAGCTTTAAAAACGCGGTAGTTTGAGGTTCCGATATGGCTGCAAATAACATTGACAGTTTTCACGCTATGACAATCATTTATGCATAATATATATATAATTATTGCATAATGTATTTTTAGAAAGCGGCCAATTGGATAAATCGGTAGAATTATTTTCCCAGGTTTAAAAACGCGGTAATTTGAGGTTCTGATATAGTTGTGAATAACTTTGACAGTTTTCATGCTATGACAGTCATTTATGCATCATTTTAAAGCATTACAGTTGCACTTTGTTTTTGTGTATAATTTGGCATAATGAATTTTTACAAAAATTGGATAGATCGGTATATTTATTGGTACAGGTTTAAAAATGCGGTAATTTAAGGCCCCGATATGGTTGCAAATAACTTTTATAGTTTTCATGTTATAACAGTCGTTTATACATCTTTTTATTGCATTTTAGTTGCCATTTGTTTTGGTATATAATTTATTGCATAATGTATTTTAGAAGATGGCCAATTGGATAGATCGATAGAATTATTTTCCCAGGTTTAAAAAGGCGGTAATTTGAGGTTCCGATATGGTTGTGAATTACTTTGACAGTTTTCATGCTATGACAGTCATTTATGCATCAGTTTAGAGCATTATGATTGCACTTTAATTTGGTATATCATTTGTGGAATAATGTGTTCGTCTAAAAAATGGTCAATTTGATGGATCGGTAGAATTATTGTTCTATGTTTAAAAATGCGGTAATTTGAGGTTCCGATATGGTTGCAAATAACTTTGACAGTTTTCATGCTAGGGCATTAGTTTACGCATCATTTTAAAGCATTACAGTTGCACTTTATTTTGGTGTATAATTTGTGGCATAATGAATTTTTACAAAAATTGGATAGATCGGTGTATTTATTGGTACAGGTTCAAAAATGAGGTAATTTAAGGCTCCGATATGGTTGCAAATAACTTTTATAGTTTTCATGTTATAACAGTCGTTTATATATCTTTTTATTGCATTATAGTTGCCATTTGTTTTGGTATATAATTTA